TTCAGAATTTAAAATGAACAGTGTGGAGTCATCGATCCATCTTGCCTTGTATAAATGGTTCAGGCTCCTGGTGGTGTAATGGTGTGCCAAATATTTTCTTGGCACTCTTTGGACTTAGTATAAACAGCATTTAAACACCACAGCCTACCTGAGTATTGTTTCTGACTGCGTCCATCCCTTTATAAGCACAGTGTACACATCTTCTGATGGCACCATGTCTGAAAGTGCAAACTGTTTGTTTTTTTGTTTTGTTTTGTTTTTAATGTGACAGTGAGCTCACTGTGCTCCAATGGCCTCCAGTCACCAGGCCTCAATGTAATGGAGTAACTTTGGGATGTGATGGAAAAGGAGATTCACATCATGAATATGCAGCCAAAACTTCTGTTCCAACTGTGTGATACTGTCATGTCATGATAGACCAAAGTCTCTGAGGGGTGTTTGCAGCAACTTGTCGAGTCTCTGGCACAAAGACTTAAAGCACCTCTGAAGGCAAAATATACTGCAGTTTAGTACTAGCGAGGTGCACCTAATAAGGTATCCGGTGAGTGTGCTTTATTATATTGGTCTGTTGTTTTTCTTTCAGTCACGTTTCTTATCTGTTCAGTAAATAAAAGTATCAGATCTGAAGAGGTCGATTAAAGTAAACTTGGTCCGAAACTAAACTTTGGGAAAGGTAAATGTTCTCTAGCATCCTGTCAAAGACAAATTAGAAATGTAATTTACTGAGGTAGAACTCACCCTCCAGCCCAAAGTATTCATGGTCCATGTTGTGTTCTTCGTTGAAGCCAGGCCACTTCTTCCATATCGTGCCTATCTCCTCACCAATGTTGGAGACAATCTAGTGTATAATTTAAAACCGCATGAAAGCACTACTGCAATGTTACACTTTTCAGTCACACATATACTTTTATGAGTTATAAATATTCCTACCTGGAATTGTTGGTTGGAGAAACAACGGCATGGACAGCAGGAGCCCTGGATTCTGATGGTAGACGCCCCTCCTGAAGCGCAGACCTCCAGGAGGGGCGTAAACATGCTCCACCTGAAAACATGGTCACCAACACACAGCAACTCAGTAACCGTGCACTAAGCCTCCTGGCAAAGAGACTGGCCAGTGCTTCACACAGAAGCGCAGCCCAGTCTTGATGGTTGGATGATTGCATTTTCAGCTGTCATGATTCTGCAGCACCAAAGCAATTGTTTGCTCAGTGTCAGAAGAGTTCAATTTGGGACATGCTTTATTAGAGCACAACTGAGAGAATATTTATACCAAGTCGAACTCTGGTCACTGAAACCTCTGCCAGGCCAGTCCTAATTGGGCACAACTTCACCGACTGTCGCTTCTGGAAAACTCTAAATTTGACACACAAAGACACCCCCGCTAACCCTGGAGTCAGATTTAGGCCAGATGAAGAAGGAAGTATTTTGGGTTGACGACAGAAGAGCCGTGAGCCTGCCATGCCATTGGCCAACATTCCCATTAGGAAGGATGTCGCATTCCTTCCCCTACGAGCCCACGCCAGCTCTGTTGGTGTGTTTTTGGTGTGCAGACAGCTGTGCTGTGCATTAACCATCCCAGGTTTATATTACACTCAGGCTGTTCAGAACAGGAAAGGCCCCGACTGCTATTTACAGACAGGCCTGAGCATCTAGGGTAGGCCAATGTGGTCCCAGGCCTTGAATGACATGGAAAAAGGCTCACATGCAAAGTGTTTAGTCTGACAGTATAAAATGCTACTGGTGTTTGTTCACCCAAATTAAAAATGTAAAATTATAGTAATAATAATAATAAAAAAATATACTATGTGAATGTTATTCTTCAAACTCAAATGATCCACAAAACAACCATTTTATCCAGACTAGTTCCTTACTTCTAGGCTGGACTGCTGTAACCCATTATTATCAGATTCTTCTAAAAGTTCCCTGAAAAGCCTTCAGTTGATCCAAAATGATGACAGGACCTAGGTACTGACAGGGACTAGAAAGAGAAAGAATATTTCTCCCATACTGGTTTCTCTTCATTGGCTCCCTGTTAAATTCTGAATCAAATTTAAAATCTTTCTGATCACATACAAGATCTTGAATAATCAGGCCCCCTTTTATCTGAAAGACATCATAGTACCATATAACCCTAATAGAGCAGATTGAGGTTTAAAATGTTCCTTTCTAATCAACTTATAGTTAGGGCTGGACTCTGAGCCAGGTTCTCCCAGAGGTTTCTCCCTTTTAAGAGAGAGCTTTTCCTTCCCTGTGTCGCCCAACTGCTTGCTCACAAGGGGGTCATCTGCTCGTTAGGGTTTCTTTCTAATATTGTTGGGTCTTTACCCTACAATGTAAAGTGCTTTGAGGTGACTGTTGTTGTAAATTGGCACTATATAAATAAAACTGAAATGAATGAGTGCAGACTAAAGACTTCTGTGGACTCCTTCAGACATAATTATATTTATGTTTATAATTTTTGTTAACCCATTAACCAAAGGCCAGTAGTTTGTAAAATTCAGTTCATTAGATTTCTCAGAGAAGCTAAAGAGGCTCATGTATGAAGTATGTCTCCTTAATATAAATCTTCACCACTAACTTTACCTACTTTATATATTCACTCTCATTATAACAACAGAAGTGAGTTATATAAGCCTAAGTGTGGCTTGATCACATGTAGTTTAGAACTACTGAGCAACATAAGGAAACAAACTCATCAGTGTTTAGTAGGAACATATATACACCAAGGAATGAACAAGTTTCCTACCGCTGATGTACGGTGCCAATGAGATGGTTTTGAGGTGTGTACGCTCTCATCTCCATCAGGCAGCAGCCGAGGCAACAGGCGTCCACCCTTAGGGGCCTTTCAAAATAAAAGACCTGACTGCCCTCACTGTCAAAGCCTTTCAGGGTGTAGGCCCGAGCTGGACCACAGCACTGCAGACACACACAGGAGCTCTCTAAGAGGAGGGAGAAGAGAACAAATGCTGAGAATATGCTGAAAAACATCAGTAGTTATAAGAGTAAGACACGTGGTGGAACGGGACAAATACCTTCCACAGCCACAAATGACTGTGACCTGTTGCCTTCTGTAGTGATGTTATAGATCCTCCTAGAAACACACTGAGGACCTGCAGTCAGGATGTGGTATTTTCTTAACGCACACACATCTAAACAAGAGTCCTGTTTTATGTAAAAGAAAAAAGTAGTCCTCCTCACCTTGCAGCTCTGGCTTGGCAGTGATATGAATCTCACTAGCAGTTTCCAGCACAGACATAAAGCATGATCTCACTGCACTACCAGTCTTCTTCACAGGTGGCTGAATCAAGCCATTCTCAGCAGTCTGGCCCAAAAGCTGCTCTTCAGATTCCAGGTCAGGAGGCATTTGGTGGGATTTGGGTGGAGTGCTTTGAGTCTGCCACTCACAAGAGGGTCCACAGCGGTTGTGAAAAGCCCTGAAGACCATGTGAATGTGCTTCTCTCGCTCAAGTCGTCCAAAGGGAAGAGGCTGATTGATCACGGCTGACATGGTCTCAAACTAAAAAATGAATCATACCGAAACCTTAAAGAAAACATTTGAAGGATGGATGCTTTAACTCATACCCAGTCTATAGGCTGCAAGCAAGTTACTTAAATAAAGTATAGGTGCTTAAAGAAGAAAATCCACACACATCTTTCATTATTTACAAACCAAATTCCCCCAAAAGTTGTGAAAGTGTGTAAAATGTAAATAAAAACAGAACATGGCAGCCACATGTATTAAAAAAGCTGTGAGCAGGGCCATGTTTACCCTGTGTAGCATCCCCCCTTCTTTTAATAACAGCCGGTAGACATCTGGGTACTGAGAAGACCACCTGCTGCACTTTTAGAAAAGCTACGATCATATCTGCTCAGCACTGCTGGATCTTTGTCATATTTTTGTTTAATGGTGCAATTAACCTAATTAGTTGTAAAATGTTCCTCCAGCTGTTTCCTTTGAGTACCACTTACTTTCCCAGCCTTTTGCCCACCCCAGTTTTCGGAGCCATTTTCTCAGTTTAAACGTTTGATATGTTTTCATTGTTCTATTGTTAAGAAAATGTAGGTTTATCAGATTTTCAAACAATTGCATCACAACTTTTTGGAGCTGGTGTTGTGCCTTAAATACTAAATATTAATCTGACAAAATGATAAAAGATCCACTAAAACGGTCTCAAAATCATAGCAAATAGATCTTTATCATGTAAGCTTGTAATTTAAAATTTTATAAATTTTTATGTTGTGATCAAAAGTTTGATAGGGGAAAAAAGGAGCTTTCCTTCTCCTGTACTGTGTTTCTTGGCAGTTCCCTGGTATCAATATTAACATCCTCCTTGCAATAGTAGCCAGCGTAATACTTCTTCACATTCAGATCACATGCTAATATTCCTGTCTCACCCAGCCTGCAGCTGCGAGTAGCAGCTCACAGCATCAAACCGAAGCTCCCTTGTATAAACATTGATAGCTCAAGAGTTTCTATACTGGCTAAGATCTTCCTGGAGCCTTTACTTATCATGTATTTCCAATAAGAGATTAGAAAGAAAGAAAACAGCACAAAAGAGCATCACAGGCCTGCTTACCATCAGTGTTCAACCTCCACAGACTCGGATCATCTAAGTGTTACGAGCAAGAAACCAGGCGAGCCTTCATGAGTTATCATTATCTGGAGGGACTAAGCCTTCTTACCCCCCGTGTGTTTGTGTGGCTATTCACATAGCAGTGTTTGGCTTTGTGAGTGTTTTCGGACTTCAGCTCCATCTCAAAACGACTCTGTTTCCATCCCAACCAGCCGGATCTGCCTTTTGTTGGGGTAGAAAGGCACCACTCAGTCATGTAATTGAAATGCTTCCAGAGGAGGGGGGCTGTGCAGGATATTTGTGCTTCAGTGGCAGGTTTGGGAGTGGAGGGGTGGGGGCCGAAACTTTCCACTGGCCTCAAAAAGGACTCAGTCACAAAAATCATACAATTAAAATGCTTTTATTGATAAAAAGAAAGATTCTCGTACAACGAATGAAATCTGTGGTCGACACCATGTCTCGTGGCTTGTGCCCATAGTTTTGTTAAAAATGAACAGCACTTAGAGCAAACACTGAGATGTAAGTAAGGAGACCATCTTCTACAGCATTAAATGCAACACAAACAATCTCAACAGCCAGGACAGCTGACACAGAATGCATTCACACAATGGTGCAGTGGATTGTACTTGCTTCTGTGATCGTCCGCAGCCCCACAGCAGGCACCTGTGCAGAAAACACATACAGCTGCATCTTCTCCATTCTTTGTATCATAGTCATTAGTGAAAGATCACTAATGAAGGCTGTCAGATTCTCACTCTGGCTAAAGTGATAACATCAAACATTTTCTCCCTGGTTCACCCTAAGGCGTTTGTTTCCATTCCTGCTACAGCAGTAATGTTGTGTAGTGGCGGGAGATACTTCTTTGGATCCCCAGGAAAAGGTGTAGAGGGCGGCTGGTTGAAGTGGCCCATCAAGAAGATGCCAATAGTGCCGATAAAAAACACCAACACCATGACAATAAAGCAGACCCTGTCGATGACACGGGCAACCAGGAACCATTCTTCATTTTCCTGAGGTTGAGTGAGATGATACATTGCTATTAGCTCTGGCATTCCCAACTAAGACCTCATCTAAATGTCCATTGCAAATGTGCAAAGAGTAAAATGGTTAAGCATACACTCTGGAAGTCATTCTGCTGTCTTGCAGTCTCAGCGATGTGTTTGCAGGAGGCCACACACTGCTTCAGCTCTGGACTGGCCTTTGCTAGACTATTAACAAGGTGCTGTGCTGTACCCCCCTCCAGCCCATCATCTGGAGCCATATATTTATGTGTTATATTTATGCATTTCAAAGGATAACCTAAACTGTCAAAAGTTTTACAAATAATTTAAAAAGAATGTGTAACAAACTCTTTCAAATACTTACGTAGCTTCTCCAGCACTGATTTCATCAATCCATTTCTCCCTCTGAGTTTGTCAAACATGAGCTCAGACCGAGCTGTTTTCATTACGTATTCCTCCGCCTTAGTGATGACAGTGATAGAGCTGCGGCGACGGCAGGGAACCAGGTGGACACCATTCCTGCCTGCAGACACAGTTTCACCATTTCTCATTTCTGATGCATGGCCGGCGTTTGGTGTCCAGGGTTGCATCTGCATCCTAAGTAGGCGAGGCAGGATGTTTAGGAAGATCTGAGGGTGACACGGTGTTTAAGATGAAATCACAGCTAAATAGACGTGTTCCCTTCATTGAGCAGCTTTAAAAGATATTCAAATGATTCAGACACAGCCTCACCTTCCGGACTTTGTCTGCCATTTTGTGAGTGTTTGGGGTTCTCAGGGATACGTTGAGGACTACGACACTGTTTATCACTACCATGGTGGTCACCGACATCACAAACATCAGATACCTGCGGTCAAATGTTCGTATCATTTTCAACACAAACCTAAAACTCTGAGCTGAAATCTGAAAGTCAGCCGCTTACTTTCCAATAAGAGGCACCGCTTGAGAAGTCTCTGGAACCTTCTTAGCAATGAGGAAGAGGAACACAGTCTGGCCCAGAAGAGTCACAATAGACATGGTGCACTTCTGACCACCAGCTGTAAAACCAAAACCAGCACTCAGTCAGGGTGGTGCAGTTTTGACCTAATGTATGCATCAACGGCTAGATCGTCACTGTATTTCTATGATCATAGGTCAAAGTATGAATAAAATCCTGACTCACTGTCTACATACATCAACAGGCACAACATTATGACAGGTAAAGTGAATAACACTAATTATGTCTTCATCATGGCACCTGTTAGTGGATGGGCTATATTAGGGACCAAGTAATCTTTTTGTCTTCAAAGTTGAGGTTAGAAGCAGGAAAAATGTGCAAGCATGAGGATTTGAGCAAGTTTGACAAGGGCCAAATTGTGATGGCTAAACGACTGGGTCAGAGCATCTCATATTTTGCAGCTCTTATGAGTTGTTACTGGTCTGCAGACCAAATGTGGTCCAGGGAAGAAACAGTGGTGAACCAGCAACAAGGTCATAGGCAGCCAAGGCTCACTGACACATGGGCAGCAAAGGCTGGCTCGTGGGGTCCAATCCAGCAGACGAGCTCCTGTAGTTCAAACTGCAGAAGAAGTTCATGCTGGTTCTGATAGAAAAGTGTTAGAATGCACAGTCCATTGTAGCTTGTTGCATATGGGGCTTCAGACCTACATATTCACTCCAAAATTCCTTACAGTTCAATTCAAATACATTTTATTTATATTGCAATTACAACAACAGTCGCCTCAATGTGCTTTAATTGTAAAGACCCTGCAATTATACAAAGAAAACCCCAACAATCAGACAACGCCCTATGAGCAAGCACTTGGTGCCAGTGGGAAGGCAAAACTCCCTTTTAAAAGGAAGAAGCATTGCATAGCTGCATGATGCCCCCAGTCTAATGGGCATGTGCAAGTCAGAACTGGATCACAGAGCAATAGAAAAAGGTGGCCATGTGTGATGAATCACTTTTTCTTTTACATCACGTGGACGGCCGGGTGTGTGTGCATCACTTACCTGGGAAACACCTGGCACCAAGATGCACTATGGGAAGAAGGTGAACTGGTGGAGGCAGTGTTATGCTTTGAGCAATGTTCTGCTGGGAAACCTTGGGTCCTGCCATCCATGTGGATGTTACTTTGACACATACCACCTATGTAAAGATTGTTGCAGACCATGAAAAAGCTTTCATGGAAACAGTATCCCCCTGATGGCTGTGGCCTCGTTCAGCAGGATAGTGCTTCCTGACACAACTGTTTCAGGAATACTTTGAGGAGCACAAGAACAGGTTTGAGGTGTTGACTTGGCCTCCAAATTCCCCAGATCTCAGTCCAGTCGAGGATCTGCAGGATGTACTGGACAAACAAGTCCAATTCATGGAGGCCCTGCCATGAAACATTTTAGGACTAAAGGATCTGTTGCTAACATCTTGGTGCCAGATACCAGAGCACACCTTCAGGGCTCTAGTGGAGTCCAGCAAAAGATGGACCACCACAGTACTAGGCAGATAGTCATGATGTTATGCCTGATGGGTTTATGATCACACTTTACACAAAGTAAGAAGAAGAACCTTTGGCAGGTAAGTAGTAGACTAGCAGGCCGAGGGAGGAGAAGAGGACACAGGGAGCAATAATGTTAATGATGTAGAAGACAGGCTTCCTCTGAATGATAAGAAAGAAGACCAGCTCCTGATACTCCAGGTCATCTTTGGTGTACTGAGTGTTGATCACCTTCTTGGCTGGTCTGTGTCTGATAATCCACTCTCCATTCTCTAAAAAACACAAAATAAAAGTCTTTAATAGTCTTTTATCACAAGAAAAAAAGTTTCTTCTTCTTTATATGAACCAATGGATGTCTTTATTGTGTTCACTAATTTCAAATCTATTCTTCAAATACCTGTAAAGGCCTCTGGGTCGATATCCACCCACTCTAATGTGACGTCATCTTCTTTTGTGAGAACCAGCTCGATCTCATTGGCGCTGTAAGTCTGCGAGCTGAACACATGGCACAGAACATGCGGTCAGAGTCGACCAGTCAACACCTTCAAGAGCAAGAAGGTAACATGACTGAAGGAAGCTGATTGCTGTTGATTTAGACACTCTGGATTCTTTTTACATGTCATGCATTGGCCTTTAGTTCAATTTTATTTACATAAGAAGAAATTACATAAAGGGTTGAGCCTATAATAATACAGAGAAAACCCCAGCAATGAGAAAACCCCCGATGAGCAAGCACTTGGTGACAGTTCGAAGGCAAAACTCCCTTTTAACAAAATACCTCCGGCAGCACCAGGCTGGGGGAGGGACAACCATCTCCCTTGACCGGTTGGGGGTGACAGACTTGTGATTGCTTGCGTTTTGTACAGATCAAGTCCCATCTGATCTCTTACCGGAAGACCATGGTGCAGTTCTGCCAGTCGAAGGGAAAATAGTTCACAGTGATGGCACAGGCGCTGTGGTAAATAGCAGGAGGCAGCCAGTACACACAGCCATCAGGAGACACCAGTGCATTGCAGTAAAGAGCTACCTCAAAATGTCCATCAATGCTACGGACCAGAAGGAAGATGAGAAAGATGGTGTATGGTTTATCTGCAGTTTATTGCATACATTCGTGCACGCATGCACACATCAGGCCTCATTCATGTAAATTTCACACCTACAGGCTTGTAGATTTATCTTAGATAAGAGAAACTTTACCTGGAAACAAATACATCTGTCATCATAATGTGATAATATGTGTTTTTAAATGGTTGCAATAGTATTAAAAACTAAATCTGCCTCTAACAGTGTGAGAGTGCAGAACCTGAAAGCACTATCTGAAGTTCACTCATGACTTCTTTTACCTAAACTCTGCCCTTTGCTTCCATTTTTGCACCACTGTGCTTCTCCTGGGCGAGCACAGAGGAAAGGAGATTTTAGAAACACGATGTAATGTTTACCTTTCACTAGGGTTGGTGCAGCTCAAAGAAAACAGAACCGAAGTTTTGTTTAAAAAAGCCTGCTACATCTTTGGTGAATGCTTTCTTCGCCTCCCACATGTTGTTTGGTTTACTTTCAAAGTACTTTAGGTGCATTTACAAGGCTTTAAGCAGACTGGTTAGTCCAGAGAAACCTGATTTAACCCACAGGTCTCCTGAATAAACAAATATCAGAATCAACTATGATTTGATGGGTGATTGTATGAATGCATTTTTAATGTTCCCATTTATCCTGAAAATGAATTTATTGTTAATTAATATTTTAGAATGCTTCAACTAACAGCCCAAAAAAGTCCTCAGAGACGTATCATGATGGCTGCCTAACCATTAAAACTCATATCTCAATGGAAAATTCATATCTGAAGGTGGATTCACTCACTTGTTCTCCAGTACAATGTCAGGCAACCAGATGCTTTTGGAGGGGACACGCAGACTAGAGGTGATGTTCCCATACAGAGCTGACCTGGGTGACTGGTCCCATCTCAGCCTGTAGTCGCACCATTGCTACACACAGAAACACTGCAGGTTTGACTTCTTTTCGAATGCATAAACTGGGTATTTTTGAAAGAAGCCAAAAAATGGACCTCCAAAAGTTACCATTTCGATCCAGACGTTGGTGGTCAGGGCCTCCTCCTTTTCATTCTGAGGACACAGTTTGGTAAACATTGCAACCATAGACAATAACCCTCTGAGGTCATTATAGATGATAACCCAACTCTAACCCTAGCCTGTCCTACGTTTTGAAGACGAAAATATTACATTTTTGATGTGTGTCAGTTAGACTTTGCTCATGGCTTGGGAGAATAATTTAATAAAAATAAAAATGATGTATCCTGATTGTCTAATGTGAGAATTAGGGTTTTGGTCAGGGTCATCACTGGCTAATCATTCGCACCAGGACAAGCTCTACTCACCAGAGAGATGAGGTTGGTGAGCGTCATCTTGATGGAGACTTTAGTGATGTCTCCACTCTTCTCCATGGGCCGAACGTTCTTGTTGTAGCCCTTCATCAAATCCTTAAACAGCTCCCTTTCAAGGTTGGCTGCCGAGGCTGCGCACAAGAACATGAACAGCCACGACAAAGCAGGTTGATTTAAAGGGTCGATCTGCGCATTTTTATAGCAGGTAAAATAGCCAGACAATCCAAAAAGCTGTGGGAATCAGCAAATAAAGATAGTAAGTTGTAAAAGATTTGAATTCGACTGATCTTCTGGTCAAGATCTTCTCAGGCACGTCCAGATGTCTTCCAGTACATCTGATTTTTTTTTTAACTTGTTAGAGACACAAATGCAAGGGGACACAATGGAACTTCTATGAAGTGAAGCAGATGTAGCATCCGTGCTGAAATAAGTCCAGAAGTCTTGTGTAGAGATTTTTATGTTTATGTGATGATGCCCGCAGCTTTTCGATCGTATCTCTTGCATTGTCTGCTCGTCATAAGGAATATTTGCTCCATAGTTGCATCAGCTCTACTGTGACGTTTGAGATTACAACATGGTTACCGCGGTTTCGATTTGTGGCAAAATTATTAACAAACAGCCTGCTTTAAAAACTGGATGAAAGAAGTTAGTATATAGGAGGTATGGGCATTTGATTAAAAATGCTATTGAGCTGCATGATGGGAAATGTAGGCTTCAGAACTTATTAAGCCAGAAGATTAGGTATCTCTACTTACTTCTTTCATCTCCCCAACGTTATGGAAGCCCAACAAAAAAACTGCTGAAGTGCACGGGTAAAAACAGTCTCTCGTGAATGTTTTGACAAAGTTTAATTTCCCAGAGAAACTTTGTCGTAATAATCAAATGATCAATGAAGAGACAACTACATTATACAAATATTTGTTTTGTAAAAACCACCAGCGCACAAAAGATTATTTCAGTTTACTAACAAACTGGAAAAATAACAAAAAAACGAAAAAAGTTATTAAAAACAATTTCAAACTGTCTTATGGAGGAAAGCTTTTAATTGTCCTTTGGTGCCCGAGAAAACAAAGTAGTAATGACTATTAAAATGTATATTTCAAATATTCAATAATTTTTTAAAAATGTAGTTACCAGACTAATAGTCGACTGTGAAGGAGAACACATGTATAGTATCAGCATAACAAAATGAGTGGGACTGTGTGCACTGACAAATGTATATTAGATCTTTTAGATAGAACAGATGTTTTGAGATTTACCAGTGAAAATGCCAACAACACATGGTCTGTACAGTCTGGTGATCAGTGCTTTTCAGTGTACTGCATTTTGTTTGAATGCAAACACAGTGAGAATTAGTGAAAATAATAGACTGCTAAAAAAAAAAAAAGCATATTGTTTCTAAGCAACACTCAGCAGCATCTTTGGTCTTCAAAAACAACAGCATGCAAATCACAGCAACAAGAAACCCAAACTGCTTCCCTCAAACTGTGCAGTGGCTCCTTAGTGTTCCTACCTGTGGCACAAAACACCAACACTCCAATAAAGAGTGGCAGAGTGCACGGAGCTCCAAAGTCCATCAGCGTGTCTTTGTGCAGTGCTGTCCCAGACAAACCCTCAACCACTAATGTGACACGCACGGACTCGGGCACCCGTGTGTGCTTCCCACCAGAGGTCGAAGCTCGGGTTGACGGGAAGGCTGAAGGTTGGGGGTTGGTGACTGGGTGATTGTTAGGGTAAAATCCAAAAGTGGATTTCCAGCACGGCATAGCCAGCTGTCACACAGACACACACCCATAGTTTGAGCATTGTACTCTGTCCATGGCTGCCCTCCAGTGTTAAACATGTCGCATTATAATTCTGTTCGGTGCACCTGTCTATTGTTGCTCAGTTACATGAACGTAATTCTCTGTAATGAACTCAAAGCACACTCGGCCCAGCACTGATATCTAAAACTCTCAGTTTTATAGTCTCAGTTAAATCTATTCTTTACAACAGAGGGATTAGACAGATCTGGTGTTAAAGAGAGAAAGAGCACAACAAGCCAGAAACAAAAAAAAACTGACAAACAGCAGAGAAGACAACAGGTGGGAAGTCTTGTCCATTTACAGCACAGCGTCTGTGATGAGTGGCCAGGCACTGGATGCCAGCACATTTGTGTCCTGTCATGACTTGTGTGTGTGTACGTGCATGTTTGTCACAAAAATACACACACTTAAGCACGCAGGTCAAAAGCAGGAGTTAATGTGATGTAACAGAGGTATGTATCTGTGTTTACTCAGCTGTCTTGCCCCTGTATGTTCCTTTTCTGGGAAATTACCTGTCTGTGATCACAACGTTAAGTACCGGCTTAATTCAGCCGATTGTTTAAAGACTCAAATACAGGATTAGAGAAGCAAAAGTCAACACAAAGCAATAATGGGGGCCTGTTTGCTGCTCAAAGAGTGCCACTTCCTTTAAACTTGCCAGTTGTGGATAATGACAGACAATAAGAGACTCTAGAGGGTGGTGTATTTCTGGATCCTGTTAAAATTACCCATCTTAAGAAGAGCAATCACGGAGGTTCTTGTCACCACAGTAACAGCTGCTGCACTGACCGTAAAGCTCTGCTCAAAGGGTGAAACCAATGAATGTGGGGTCACAAAGACGGGAAGATCAGAAGCTGCATTACTGCTAACTCAATCTTTCCTTACAATAAACACAGCATCCCATAACATTAATAACTTTTTTATTTATAGACCTTAATTTTTGTTTTGTTTTTTTACAAAAATACAAATACTTTTCTCTATACAAATAAATATTACAAGAATAAACATTACATAATATATATAGCGCGTATGTGGCTTTACAAGAGGCTCAACCTTTGTAAAAGACAATATGAATAACTTATCATTTTTGTTCGGGTTCATACGTTAGACAAGGCTGCGTCTACAACCACATACAAAAGCTTGTGGTGTGACTGGTGGTCAGTAAGTGGGTTGATACATTCATGTTTTTCGTTTAGAGTCAGGAAACAGCAGAGGCAAGAAGTAAAGTCTGTGCGCGCTTTCAACGCATCTGTCTGTTAAAAGCTTCTCAGTTGACTTGGAGAGGCTTTCTGCCATCATCTCTCCTTTTTAGCGTTGGCAGCAGTTACGACTTGAGAGCCTCCAGTGCCAAAGCGATGATCCTCGGCACGCTGCGGTAGAAAGAATCGTTTTCTAGGCCCACAAGACTGTAGAAGGTCAAAGGTCGTCCTCCAACTACAGCTCTGACCCGCGCTTGGTAAAGTCCTCGGTCATTCTTGGAGCCCAGATCAACTAACACCTGAAGAAAGGAGAGAGCTCATTAAAAGGCTGTTTCAAAAAGAATATTGCATGCATCTTACTGGGACTTACCTCCTGGAAGTTCATGTGGAGATTCTTGCTCGGGATGTTTAACACCCAGCTGTAAGAGTCTCTGACTTGGCTGACTTTCTGTGAAGACTCTCTCACTCCAGGACAAACTACAGGGGGGAAACAAACACACTTGAGCACATGCATTTTGGAATATATGTAATGAAACTTGTCTGAATAAAGATGTGGCACACACTTTTCATGTTGGCGCCGGTCGTTTGCCTCCTGTGAACAAGGCTCCTGTATTTTCTGTAAAGAATTAAAGGCTTGACAGCAGCCTGTCTGAGGTCAGCGGTCTCTGTGGGCGCGCTCTCAGTGACTGGCTGGAGAACAGTTGTTGACTCTGTGCCGTCTCCATTCTCAGAAAATGTCAAATCCTCTGACGCGCCTCTCCGTTTTTCATTAGCAGTAGCTTCTTCACTAAATGAGCTTTCACTCTGCGATCCTGCTTCTGTGGCAATCCTACTTTGTGCCTTTAAATTCTTAACATCATTTATGAACGCTGTCAGAAGTGACCAAGGCTTCTGTGATACCCAGGAAGAGGAGGGTGGGTGGGTGTGGTCCGGCGCTCCAGTGGATGGAGTAAAGACAGACGGAGACTCCTCCTGAAGGTAGACTGTGTCCAAGTGCAGGATGGGAGGAGCAGCTCTGGAGTCCAGTTTGGAACGCAGAGCTGAGATGATGGATTGATATTCTCCCTCGAGCTGCAGCAGAAAGGAGTCCTGTGTCTGGAGACATTAAAAATTGATTTTGATGTTCAGATTAAGCTGAAATTAAAACATATGGAAACAAAGTGAAGCCGTAGCTGAAAGAAACTCACATTAACCCTCACTAGGTTTGATTTTCATTGTTTTATCTTACTGGGATTTGTATTGTGCTGTAATTAACCACAGTTTACTTTGTACACATGCAGTTATTCATTAAATTAAACACAAATACAATTCAAATTGTCGTCTGTGTAAGATAAACCATGCATCACTTTATTCTTGAGCATTAAACAGCGCACCTGCAAGAAAAGGTTGTCCTCCTGCCTCCTGATTTTGGAGGAGATATCTGTGTCAGGGTTTTGTTCATCCACATCATCGGCCATGCTTCTCAGATATTTCTCCCAGTCATCCACCAACGCCCCGACGTCTGTGAACAAGGCTGGGGGAACTGGAGAAGGGCCTTCTTCTGCTGGCACCACAGCACCACCTAGCTGTTCTGCAAGTAATAAAACACCTGTTACAGCAGCAAGCAGCAAAACATGACAGGCATCCTCTGTCAGTCATGTACCTTCAATCTGTTTAAGACTATGGCTCAGGCCTAGGTCCCGCCTCTCTCTGGTGTGAGTGAAAGCTGTGCTGTAGATATGCTCCACAAGCTGAGGCAGAGTCTGGGTGAAGAAAGTCAAGTCCACTTTGTCCCTGATGTAGTCCTCGGCCCTCTGGAGCAAGTCCAGCAGGGTCTGCAAGAATGAGTGCAACTCTAGATGATGGAGAGAGAACGAAAGATCAGAAAACTCAGCGCAAACAGTATATCAGGTATTTGTTGCCAGGCGTTTCAAATAAAAGTACTCACGGCATTTCTTGAAGCGGGTGAGGCATTTGTCCTCGGCCAGTCGGCTGCAAGCGCTGGCAGACTGACCGGAAGGACAGGTCAGTTTATAGAAGCGACACAGAGAGCTGAACTCTGACCTCTGTTCTTCTTCTGTCATTTCAGTTGTCTTTAGAAGCTCTGGACATGTAGGCTCACGGCTCCCAAATGACTCTAAAAAGAAGAAGTAGAAGTGGTGATTTCATGATGAAGTGCAGCATGTCAGTATTGCGGAGTAGCCACTGATAATACTTTTCAAATTACTCAGATGAGTTTACTTTTACGGTAAAGCGAGGTTATGTCAGATTACTTTATATTGATATAAATACACAACTTACTTTGTATCTCTGCCTGAATCCAGTCAGAGAAGGCAGACACCCGCGTATAAACACCGGGCTTGCCTTTCTCTCCACAGCCGTCTCCCCAGGATGTGATGCCATGGAGTTGAAATCGACCAGATATTCGGTCCTGGTAGATCAGGGGGCCGCCAGAATCTCCCTGCAGGTGATAGTTTATGGTTTGCAATGAATTAAAGTGGTGCCACTTCAGTAACTGATAAAGATAATTCAAAAAGAAAACCCAGAAATTCTAATGTGCCCACCTGACAAGAGTCTATGCCTCCAGAAAGATAACCAGCACAAAGCATAGTGTTGGTGACCAGTTCTTTGCCAAGAGCACTCTTACAGGTGCTTTGAGGCAGCAGGGGCACCTTGGCCTCCATCACCACATCAGCAGATGGGCCATCTGTGGACAAAAATACACCATTATTGATTTGGTAGGATACAAAAATAAGTTGAGGCTAGCATGACACAGTGTGTCTATAGGATACTGAACTCACCTTCATAGAGGGAGCCCCAGCCTGCCACCAGACACGGGCTGCCAGTGGGGGGCTCCATACCAGAAGGAAGACACACTGGGGTGACGTGTTGAGACAGGACCACTGGAGAAGTCAGCTCCACCAGTGCTATATCATTGTTAAATGTCTTTGGGTTGAACTGCAGAGACGTGACAGACCTGTTATTGCCCCTGATCAATAAATCGGTGATTAATTAAAATACTAAAAGCTATGATCCCGCACTTGGATTTTTACCTTCGGATGGGGGATGACGCGATTCACTTTGAGAACCTGTTCATCAGGGTCAGTCTTGGTGATGTCGAACTCACCTACGACAGCTGTCCAGTAGCTCTCGCTACGGCTGCTGCAGAGGTCAAAAGACAGTTTTAACAAATGCTAAATGCTGTGAATTTGACTACTATCTCATCTGTCTTTGCAAAGAAAATAGTCACACATGCACACTAACCTAGCAAAACAATGTGCGGCAGTGACCACCCAGGAGCTGTCCACCAGAACCCCTCCACACATCAAGGCACCATCCAGCTGCAGGTTAACCAGCCAGGGCCAGCTGCCTGGAGGTGCAGGAGAGCCGCCCACAATCCTGGAGCGAGGCTGCGTAACATTTTGCACTGTGGCTGACCTCTGACCGCACACTGCTGCTGGGACAGAGAACAGGCATCGCTGGTGAAAAACGATGCAAAGCAATTAAATCTAATGCCTCTGCGTGTGTAAAAAGATGTCTCCGCTCACCCTGTGCGTGCGTCTGCATAGCCGGTTCCAGGTTCTGCATTGTGTTGAGCAGGCTGCACTGGAGGACGCGAGCGCTGCAGCTCTCCCCCATGACCCTGATGCAGCTCTCCGTGTCCACCTCACCAGGTGGGCAGCGATGCTGATAGTACGCACAGGCCTGACTCAGAGCCCAGCTCCTCTCCGCCTC